AATTCTGCCCTCGTGATCCAGTAGTTGTTTATCTCTCTTTTTCTCAGCTTCTTTATTTTCCATCATTTGGTCTTCTATATCTCTGATTCTCTCTTCTGCCTCATTTATTCTAGCACTTAGCGCCCCCATTTTTGATTGCACCTCATTAATAGCCTTTTTGATTTTTACTTGGTTGGATTTTAGTTCTTTTACTTCTCCAGAAAGTGTTTCTCTAATAACTTCCATATTTTTTTCAAGCCCAACTAGTATCTTTAAAGTGATGATTCTGAACTCTAGATCTGACATCGTACTAATGTCCGTATTGAGCAGGTCCCTGGCAGTCGGTCCTATCTTTTGTTCTTTTTGTTGAGGTGATGTTTCTCCATCTTGTCATTTTGTGCAGAGGAGAATAGATTAATGAGAGAACAAAATGCTAGCAGAGTAACAACGTCCCCAGAAAATATACTCTAAACAAATCAGAAAAGACCTGAAGCAGTGGGAAAAGAAAGGGAAAGAGAGAAAAAAGAAAAAGAAAAAGATAAAGATAAAAACAAACAAAAACAGAACAAAACAAAACATCAACAACAAAGAACCAGAATGTGATCAAATATGATCAGGCTGGTATATAGATCAGTGCCACACACTATATTTTGGGTGTATTTTGGTCTGTTAGAAGAAAGTGCCTCCCAAAATTTTAAGGAAAGAAAAACTTATATATGTACAAAAATAAGGGTTGATATGATGAAGGGATGGAATATGACTAAAGATGGAAAGTATAAAAAAGTTTATTAAAGGAATTGATAAGAAGTTGTTTGAAAAAAGAAAGAGGATTTAAAAAAAGAAAAAAGGAAAATAAAGGGAGAGAATGTGATCAGGTAGGGGAGTAGAAAAAAAACCATATACTAGAGATTTAGGGTATATTTTGATTTGTTAGAAGAAACTATCTCAAAATTTTAAAGAGAGAACAACATATATATATGCCAAAAATACGGGTAACTACTATGAAGGGATAGAATATGACTCTAAAAATGAAAAATAAAAATGTTTTTTTAAAAAAGGGATTGGTAAGATTGTTGGTTGAAAAAGGGAAAAAGAAAAATTAAAAAAAAAGAAGAAAAAGACAGTTAAAAAAAATTAAATTTGAAAGACTAAAGAATCATGGTAAAAAAGCCATGAATTCTATGTGTAGTATTCCCTTAGCGCTGGAGTTCTGCCGTTCTCATTGATCGGTAAACTTGGTCTTGGCTGGCTGTTCTCGCTGATCTTCTGGGGAGGGGCCTGTTGCCGTGGTTCCCAAATGTCTTTGCCGGAGGCGGAAGTGCCCCGCCCTTGCCCCCTCCCGGCTAAGTAATCTGCTCGGGTTTGCTCTCCGGGGCTTTTGTTCCCTGCCAGCTTTCCATACAGCTTTGGAGGCGGAGAGTGGAAATGGCGGCCTCCCAATCTCCGCCCCGGAGGAGCCGAGAACTCGGGCCCGCTCCTCAGTGAGCCCCCAGAGAACAACCGTCAGTCACTCCCGTCTCCCTGGTCTCCGGCCGCACTCCGTGCTCGCCCGGCCTGTGACCACGCGTTTCTATCTCTGGCACCCGACCCCGGGTGGAGTCTCCAAACCCAGCAGATCCCTGCGTTGCGCTCTCGCACCTCTCCTCCCGGGGGAAGAAGGTGAGTCTCCCCGGATCTGCCGCTTGTTGGGTCCCTGCTGGAGGAGCAGGGGCCCGACTGTGTCGTGGATCACGGTTTATGGCAACCCCGAGCTGAGAGCCCGCGCCTGGGCTCCGCCTCTGTAGCCGGCTTCCCTGCTCCGTTACCTGGAGCTCTGCCGCACTCAGGCACCCCCGGTCTTTCTGTGACCCCGAGGGTCCTGAGACCACACTGTCCCGCGAGGGTTCCACCTCCAGCTTAGCCACCGGAGTGACAGTGGAGCAGACTTTTAAAAGTTCCGATTTTGTGCTCCGCGGCTCTATCACTTGCTAGAAGCGGCTGATGGAGGCCCCTCCCCCGCCGTCTATTCTCCCGAATATTGCCTCGGATTCACTTCTCCGCACGTCCTACCTTCCAGAAAGTGGTCGCTTTTCTGATGAGAGAGTTGTTGCTGTTTTTTTCTTCAATCTCCTGTTGAGTTTGTAGGTGTTCAGAATGGTTTGATCCCTATCCAGCTGAATTCCTGAGAGGAAACGAAACCCAGGTCTCTTACTCCTCCGCCATCTTGCTCTGCCCTGTTACATAAGCTTTTATTTTCCTCCTCCTGCCTTTGGTTCTGCTTCGAAACTGAGCTTTATCCAAAAAAAAAAAGAAAGGAAAATAGGAAAGAAAGAAAGAAACCGAGCTTTATCTCCTAGTTCTGTGCCCAGTTCACTGGCATGTGTGTATAGTATCCACGTTACAGTGTTCCCACCATGAGAATGACAGCTTTATGTTTCTTTTCAATCATTTTTTATAGTTCTCCTTTGGGACCTCTTATGAGATGTGATATCCTTTCTTTCTTTTGCTCCCTGAGCACCAATATCACTGGTCTTTTCTATGCAAACTCACAGTTGTTTCCATTTCATCCAAGATACCTTTAAGCTTCTGTCTCCTTGTTTCTTAATTCCATCCACATTTGATGACCATAGTTACTTTCCCCAGAGATTTCCAAATATAGGTGCTAACTAAAGATTTCTAGAGGACTCTAACTTATGGCTGTAATATCTGTAACACCTACCTGGTAGATATTAGCTCTCCCCCAGTGGATAGTGGAGTTCTGGTTGGACTGTGGTCTTGCATAGCGTATGATATCTGTTGCCTGTTGTAGAACTCCCATGATGTTAAGTAGTTATCATCTTCTAAGCTTGTTGGACAAATGTGCGACAGATATAAAAGCCTTTCCAGTCACCTTTCTTCATTACCTAACTTGGCATGGTCAGTGGAGCAGATTGTGGTATTTAAAATAAGCTATTCGGGCGCCTGGGCGGCTCAGTCATTAAGCGTCTGCCTTCAGCTCAGGTCATGATCCCAGGGTCCTGGGATTGAGTCCCACATCGGGCTCCCTGCTCGGCGGGAAGCCTGCTTCTCCCTCTTCCACTCCCCTTGCTTGTGTTCCTGCTCTCGCTATCTCTCTGTCAAATAAATAAATAAAATCTTTTAAAAAAAAATAAATAAAAATAAAATAAGCTATTCAACCTGTCTTTTACAGAATTCATATAATTTACAGGCTGCTCATTGTTGAAATGGTAATGGCTTCTTCTTCCGGTCCTCTGATTAATGACCAGTCTTTGTAGAATGTATTCCTTCCATAGATACTTAATCATTCTTTGAAGTATTCTGGGGGGTGGTGAAGGGAGGAGTAGCATGGGCCAGGAACTCTGATGTTTATTCAGTCAGATTAATTCTTTATATCTTAGACCAGATAATTAATTTATGGAGAGTTTCTATAATTATGATTTGTTCTTATATCATCCAAATTGGTCAAAAATGTTTTACACTAAAATCCATAATTCTTACCCAACTCAGAGAATTTGTCAGTTTCACCCTTTGGTACAAATAATTAACCCCATGTCAACCATAAACATACTAAATGTAAAAAATTGAATGATTTAGCAATTTTTTGCCTTCTTTTTCTTTTCGTCAAAGAAGAGATCTATCCTTATTCTCTTTAGAGGGGAAATAAAAAACAGGAATCTGATTTATATGATCATTTTTGTTCCTATCAGGTTTTCCCATATCCAGCATCATTTATTTATTTATTTATTTATTTTTGGGGGAAGCTAAGTGATTATGATTGTGTCTCCTGAAACTTTTAATTATGGCCTGGCATTTAAATATGGTTAACTAGAGAGCAGATTTATATCAAATTAATTCTTAAGTACTTTCTTAACCAAAATTTATGTGTTTGTCCAAATAAATGCCAACAAATTTACCAAGATTAATCAAAAGCAAAAGCAAACCATTTAAACTATAAAAAGGTGGTGAGTAATTGACTAATAGAATAAGAGTTGTATATTTACTTTAAATGCAATATATTGAAGAACATTTGCACTTATAATTTACTTATAATTTTCATGCAAGGAATGTAATTTGCAAGACATTTGAAGAAATCAGTAAGTTGAAGTATACCTTTAGTGGCTACAGATCGGCATTAGTCCATTCATTAATGTTCCTCACTGCATTAGAAGTTAGAACGGTAAAATTGAGGAGAACTAACTGGCTTGTGGAGGGTTTGAACTTGTGGCCTTACCTCATGCTTTAACACTGAAAATCATAAGCCTCTTGTTAATTTTAGGAGTCAAGCCAGAATAACTATTCGAAGTAGAAAGATCATTAGTTCTAGATCAGAATGATGCCTTAATTATTTTATAAATTTAATTTTGGGAGCACAGAGCTGGGAATTTTAACATTTGCTGTATTTCCTCTTGTTTTTTTTTTTAATTTTTTTTTTTTTTAAAGATTTTATTTATCTGACAGAGACAGCGAGAGAGGGAACACAAGCAGGAGGAGTGGGAGAGGGAGAAGCAGGCTTCCCGCCAAGCAGGGAACCCGATGCGGGGCTCAGTCCCAGGATCCTGGGATCATGATTTGAGCTGAAGGCAGACGCTTAATGACTTGAGCCACCCAGGCGCCCCATTTCCTCTTGTTTTTAAACCTAATTTTTCTTTGTGGAAAGAGTGGAGGGTATTCCTCTTTAAGGGATATGCTTTTAAAGTTACTTAAAATAACATGTTTTTAAGCACATGGAGTACATTTCTTAGAGTATGTTTAATTTCAAAGAGCTATTTTGATTTTGCTCATATGCCCATCCATATATTATCAAAATCCAAAGGGACCAAAATGTTGGTTATGTATCTGAATGGTTTCTTTGTGTTGTATTTGAAGTACATTTGGAAATTTGATGTTTATAGGTGACATCTTTTAATTTTACATGTTTTATATCCATTGACTATAAGTAAGGACCTCAAAAATTTGTTTTCACTGCTTCTAAGTACATAAGCACCGTTATTTGTTCTATAATTACATTTATTTCTGATAATTTTCTCATATTTCAATTTTAGGCTAAAAATCTTATAGAGAGATTTTTTAATCAACAAGTAGAAGTTCTAGGCAGACGTGCAGAGCCATTGCCTGAAATATACTATATTGAAGGTACTCTCCAAATGGTTTGGATTAATCGCTGCTTTCCAGGGTACGGAATGAATATACTGAAACATCCAAAATGTCCTGAATGCTGTGGTATGTAATGAACTGTAATTTCTTGGTTTATATTTATGAAAATTCACTTCTTTTCATGAAACCTAGGTGAATGCCTATTGTTTATTTTTACTATCATTTAGATATATCTCTAGCTTATTTGCAGCAGTGTTTGAAAAGACTGTGAACCTGAAGATCTAAAAGAAAAAAGCTGGCTTAATTTCAGCCTTTGTGTTAATGTTACAGTAAAGGGGGTGTAGTGTTAGGCGGTTCTCTGGGAGGAAATGCGAAGAACAGGTGTGAGTCGGTTAGAGCTACTTACCCTAACAGGAGCCTAATGATGTATTGTTTTGAATCAGTTGTTGATGGGTTTACATTTGTATAGTCTAGACCAGGTATAGTTTTACCCTTTTGTAAATTAAGTATATGAATTGTTTTATTACCAGTTGTTTTTTCTGACTTTTCATTCTAGCTCTAAGGGGTCTGAGCGCTCTCTGGCTTTCATCTGTCTTTTCCTTATAATAGAAGAGTTCTCAGGCTGTTTAGGATGAGCTAATTCATGGATTCAATGTCTTTGAACTTCTGTTTTCAAAAGCTGAATAAGGCAAATAATCTTCAGTTTTATTTTATTTTTTTATTATGTTCAGTTAGCCACTGTATAGTACATCATTAATTTTTGGTATAGTGTTCAATGATTCATTAGTTGCATATAACACCCAGTGCTCGTGACAACACCTGCCCTACTTAATACCCATCACCCGGCTACCCCATCCCCCCCACCCCCCTCCCCTCTGAATCTTCAGTTTTAAAGGGCTTTCTAATAGCAACATCAATAAATTAGTATCATTATCATTCAGTCTTCTGATTGTTTTTTTCTTCTCTCTTTCTACAATCTTAAATTAGATAAAAATCCTTTTCATATAATAGAGCACTAAATATTCTTTTGCTTTGCTTTGTTTAATTGGCTAGATTTTACTTTTAGGTTTTTTTTCTGACTTAGTTTTTTGTTAAAGGATATAAAATTTGACAAAATGTACTTGAAAACTTAGGAAATATGACACAGATGTAACAAACAAAACACTTACACAGGTCAACTTTGTAACTATTTTGATGATCTGTGATTATGTAGATCACTTCAGAGCACAGATAATGATGAAGAAAGCCTGGAAAACCAAACAGTGAAACCAGAACCTGGTAGTTTAGCTGTCTATTAAATGAATTTATATTTTCACTTAATAAAGACCTAAGATAAAAAGTTTAAATGTTTGTATCATTAATTCCAAGAATTTTGAAATAGTTAAGCATACCTCTTTCAAGTGAAATAATAGGGTTCAATCTCTGAGAAGCACAAAAATTTTAGTACTAAAATGTTTTTGCATTTATAAAATTTTGGATAATAATACAGTTGTCAGATTCTCTCATTTTACCATGTAATTGTAACATTCAGTTTGTTATGCATTGTACTGTTTGATGAAGTTATTAAGCAGTTATTTTACTCCTGACAACAGACCGCATGGGGAGTATGTGATGAAACTTACAAATCTCAAAAATATTTTCTGCCTCCTATTTTGCTCTCCCAGAAACATGGCCTCTGCCCACAGAGTTTAGAGACAGGGGAGATGCATCCATGGAACAGTTAGGGAACAAGAGGTCTGATAAGCCACAGGAAAGAGAGTGAAAAGGAGATGATATTAAGGAAACGGAGTTACAGATGGCTTGGGTCTCAGGGGGTGTGCTTGAGATATCGCCTTCAAGGTGATGTTGGACTTGAGGTAGAACTTTGAAGATGCAGGGGTAGCAGTTACTCTCCAAGCTGGGGCTGGAAGGAGCATCAGGTTTCTGGGAGAGTTTTGCATAACCTGGGCTAGAGGAGTACTATCAGAAGAGCTGTGGGCTTAGCGGGGCTTAGCGGGGCTTAGAGAGCAAAGTGGAATAGCTCAACTTCAATGTGGCAGCAGGAGTCCTATCTTTGAGTAGAGGACAGAAATAAATTTATTTTTTGAATTTTATGGGGTCATTATCATTGCTCGGTATATACTTATTAACTAGAAATTTGCTAAATTTCATCTTATGCCATCATACAGTAAATAATTTAGAATTACCTTTGTGCTGTTATCGTCTGTTAGATGAACGAAGCGAGACTGAGCTTGTTTTTTGAACAGAACTCAGTCTAATGTGACCATCATATACGGTGGTTTTTGTCTATATTACACAAGGCCATCACTCCAAAATTTTGAGAGAGCACATACTACTCAAAAAGACATGTAAATCATTCTTTGAATTGGAAGGCAGTATAAAATATAACACTAGTTACAAGACAAAATTAACATATTAAATGAACTTCATTTGAGTATAAAATGGAATACTAGAAAGAAGCAAATAAAACACACAAGGTACTTCGTAAAACCACTTATTTCCAGAACGAAGATACTACGAGTTTATGTTTAACAAAGGAGATTGATTGGGACATGAATGTTCATTATATGAGAGAAGGTTATTTACTTTCTCAGCAGTCAGTGAAGTGAGCAGTGGGTGTTTTCTTCTCTTTTTGATGTCTTACTTTACTCATGCAATTTTACTTGTAGATGACAGGTAAAGATTGCTTGCTGATAAACTAGTGGAGACTTAACATTTCTACCTGTGTTCTTCATTTCTAATTTGTTTAGCATTTTAAATTAATTTTCACTGTAAAATACTTCTCTAATTTCACATTTAGCATTGCTTTTATTATATGCATGATTTTGTCAATCATTTTAGCACTGAAAAAGAAGATTCTAATTAAATTGTGAATTATAGATGTCTCATTATTTCATAAATTATATCATGAAGATAATATAAAACCAAAGACCAGTTAGAGTATTATATTGTTTTCTGATAGAATTTTTTTAAAACACAGATTCTGAAATATGATTTCCTGGTAATTTCTGTAGTTTCTGTTATTTCTGTAAAACTCTGCATCTCTTGGTTTTCATCTTCATTTTATTCTTATCACCTCAAAAAAAAAAAACATTTGTATGTTAAATAACAGTTTTTGACATAATATCCCACGTCACCTTCTTTTTCTTCCTCTTAAAATTATAACAGTGGTTTTAAAACTCTGATGTGTACCAAAATTACCCAAAGATTTTTTTCAAAAATAAATCAAGGTATGGGAAGCAGATATCTACATCTGTCACAAGCTTTCTAGGTGTTTCTGATGCATGTGGAAGTTAGAGATTCCTGAGTGTTAGCGTGGGAATGGCAGTAGCTGGTAAAATGCTTGCCTGTTCGTGTTTGTATGGTAACACCTCAGGGAAGTGCTTGAATAGTAGTATTGATAAGGCAGTGCCTAGATAAGATAACTTTCCTTCTACATGGATTGTTGAGGATCGAATGTATAGTTCAGTAATAGTTTATGCAATATTGTTAATTTCTGTTGCTTTCTTTATACTTAAGATTTGCTGTTGTACATTCAAACTTTTGGGAATCCCAGGAAGACTCAGGCAAGGAGCTCTTTGATAGTGATACAGTGTCTTTGTGAGTGGTCAGAAATAATTAGGTTACAGGTTAGAGTATTTAAACATCTTGAGATGATTTTATTAATGAGGTGATTTTAGTAATAAAGTCCGTGTGTAGCTTTATACTTTATGCAGTGAAAGTGAATTGTTTGGTAGGTAGAGTTGTTTTTAATAAGATCTTTTAGACTCTGAAATTTATTCTGCTCAGACATGCAAACCCTCAACCTTTGTTTTAATTTTAAATCCAAAAACCAAGAAAAATAATGATTAAAAAAAGCTGATATCGACAAACACAACTGAAGGCAAGAAGTCTCACCATATACACAGAGGGCATTACATGATGATAAAAGGATAAATCTATGAAAGAAGATTATATATTATTACTAAATTTGTGAATACTTAATAAATAACATAGGTTTTAAATACATAAAACAAATATTGTCAGAGAGGTAATACTGGAATGCCAAGCCATATAGAAAAACCAATGAAATTGGACCCAGTCAAAAAAATCACCTCCAGATATGTTATAGACATAAACACATAAAGAAAAACTGTAAATATTTTAGAATATAATGTGGGAAAATATCATCATGTCTTTAGGATCAGAAAAACCATTTCCCAAAACACAAAAATCAGTAACCTTAATAAAAAATGACTGACATTTTTTTCTGCTAAATTAAGTACTTCTGTTTATCAAGACAATGCAGAGAGAGAAAAGATAATCCACAGAATGAGAAAATTATTTGTAGTGGATATAACCAACAAAAGACTAGTACCCAGAACATATAAAGAACCTATAAAAAACCTTTTTTTTAAAAAGCCAAAACAATTTTTAAAAATGGGAAAAGATTTGAACAAGTGTACTTCACAGAAGAGTAATTCCAGATGATCAGTGCATATGTGAAAATATGTTCAAACTTTTTGTAATCGGAGAAATGGAAATTAAAAACAGAATGAGATCCTACTGCACAACTGTGAAATTGGCAGAAAACAAACAGTCATGACCCAACGAGGTGTTGAAGGGTGCAGAGCTCCCCCCGGGAGCAGCCAGCCACAGCCTGCCTGCCTGAGTGGAGATCCAGCCACTTTGGAACACAGCTTGGCCGTGCAGTAAATGTGCGGTGACTCTTAGGGAAATTTCATCTTTGCATATTTCCTAGTAGCCCCAAACCAGAGACAACCCAAATGTCCATTAATGGTAAAGCACATGAAGAAACAGTGATCTGTTCATACAGTGGAATGCTTTACAGGAATGACAGAGAATGAATGAGTGGGGATCACAATCGTATGGATACATTTTATAAACACAGCTTCTCGGAGAGAAGCGAACCACCACAGAATCCACGTAATTGAGGCATAGCTAACCTCTGTTAGATTTATTCATGAGTGCTAAAACTATAATGCAATCCAAGGAAATGAGTAGCACACGACAGAAGAGTGTTGGCTTCTGGAGGAGCAGAAGGGAGTGTGATTGGAGGGGCACGGGAGGAATTTTGGGGGAATGCCAGTTTTCTGTGTTATGGCCTACACTGTTTCTAGACAGGT